TCTGTTGCTTGCTGCTGGAGTGTTGGCTGCCTGATGGGACATGTGGCTGCACCCCACTGTGAGATGATGAGTGCCAACACCACCCAGCACAGACCCCAGGACACCCCAGGGTGAGGTCTCCATGCTGCTAGGGAGGCCGGTTCAAAGCCCTGGCACGAGCCAAGGAAGCCAAGCATCACCCAAATCCCAACTTTCTGCCTTTGAAGTAGGACACTCCGAGCTGCCCTACCCCTGACCCGAGCTGCAGGGTGGTCTGAGTTTCTCCTCGGGGCTGCTTTCACCCCTCTTGGAGGGCTGTGCCGACAGGGCTGAAGCAGCCACCCGGCATGGGCAGAGCGGCGTCAGCAGCTCCCTGAGCAGATAGTTTTTCAAAGCAAATTCCAAAGGGCTTACACAACCCCGGCCAGTAACAGGAGCGATTGCAGCAAGCTGCCGGCTCCCTCCCCTGCCTCGCTCCTCAAGAAGGGAGAGCAGAGCCCACGCAGCCTGGAAAACAAGCTGCAGAGCCACCAGGGAGAGGTTACCAAGTTTAGAAAGGATTTCACCCTCGCCTGGAACTCGCAGCCCTGCAGCAAGCAGCCCGGGTTGGCGGGCAGGGGGATGGTGATCAGGGGTTCTCCAGGACCTGGGGGTGGGAGCTGAGTGCTGCAGAGGGGATGTGCATCACCAGGGTGCCACCTGGACCATGGAGAGGGTTTGGGATGCTGAGGATCTGGAAAAGCCTTCCAGAGGGGGTCTGCTCCCAAAACCACGCAGGAGCCGGGGGTGAGCTGGGTATGACACTGCCTCCCATCTGTCCTGGCAGGAGAGTGGGAAACAGGGGAAGAAAGCCTGAAAAGCCACGTGAAGGGGAAAAGGCAGCTTGAAGGTGAGCTCTCTTTTGTCCCAGAGCTGCTCCTGCGTCTGCCTAAAGCTGTCAAGTTTTCCATGCCTCAGTTTCCCCGTCTGTTCCTGATCTGGTTTCAGCTGAGTGTCCCTCAGAAATTGCTTCTTACCCTTGCTTTACACAGCACATCCCCACCAAATCTGCTGGAGGGGGCTTGAGCCCTTTGCCTGTCTCCTGTAGGGCTCCAACAAGACCTTGCCTGCAGACATAGCCCTGTAGATGAGCTGAGCTGGACGGCCCTGGCCAGAGAGCAAGGAGCAGAGGTGTCCCCACCCCACCTCCATCCTCACCTCCCGCCGTGCATGGAGGGTCCGAGACCCCAGCCCCAAGACTCACCACGAGGTTCCCGATGACCATGACCATCATGAAGACGATGAGGCACATGGTCTGGCCGGCCACCTCCATGCAGTCCCACATGGTCTCAATCCACTCCCCACAGAGGATGCGGAAGACGATGAGGAAGGAGTGGAAGAAGTCGTGCATGTGCCAGCGGGGCAGGGTGCAGTCGAGGGAGATCTTGCACACACACTCTATGTAGCTCTTCCCAAAGAGCTGCATCCCCACCACGGCGAAGATGAAGACGATGATGGCCAGCACCAGCGTGAGGTTCCCCAGAGCACCCACCGAGTTGCCAATGATCTTGATAAGCATGTTGAGGGTGGGCCAGGACTTGGCGAGCTTGAAAACCCTCAGCTATGAGGAACAAGGAGACAAGGCGTTGGTTTGCTGGGGCTTTCATTGCCACGAGGTGCCACCAAGGCTGTGGAGCTGGGATTAGACCTTCTTGTGGACATTTTAAGGCAGAAGGGATTAAACACTCAGCTGCTTTGCAAAGAGTGCAGAATCTGACTTTCCCAAATATTTACCTCAACTGTCAGTGAGTCTTTAACAGGGGACAAGTTGGTGACCACCAAAAAGGGGGTTGAACAAGCTGTTCTCCACCCTGGTGACAATTCTATCCAACCCCCCCCCAGGTACCCTTGGTCCCCATGGCACGTACCAAGCGGAAGGAGCGGAGCACTGAGAGCCCTTGGACGTTGGCCAGGCCCAGCTCCACCAGGCTCAGGGTGACAATGATGCTGTCAAAGATGTTCCAGCCCTGCTGGAAATACTCGTAGGGGTCCAGAGCGATGAGCTTCAGCACCATCTCTGCCGTGAAGATCCCTGTAAAAACCTGTGGGGAACAGCTCCCTTTCACTTCTCCTGTGAGCCGTGGGGTGGGGTAGGGTGGGCAGCACCTCTCTTTTTTGGTGTGTTCCCGAAGTGTTTCACCCCATTAAAGTCCAGTCACAGCTGGGACAAACTCCTCAGCTGCTGCCCAGCGTGGCTTGTGAAGCCAAGCTGGGAGTACTGGTGACAGATCACTTCTGGACATGAAGGGGTGTGTTGACAGGTGGAAATTGAAAACACACATTTCGTTGGCAAAGGGACCCCCCTTGGAACAACTGCTGAATCACAGGGATTCCCAGCACTGGGAACTGGGCTGCTACTGGGATGTCCCTGCCCCTCCCCGAGCCCTGTGGAAGCCAATCTGGATTTTACACGTTGCTCTTCTCCAGGGCTACAACAGCACCGTGCAGGAGGTGCTACTCCAGAGTGGGATCAGCACTGTGACAATTCACACCCTCGGAGCAATTTCCCAACAGGGCACGTGCCGGGGAGGGGCCCAGGGATAAATTTTGCCCTGGATATGGATCCTGTTGGGATGCATAGGTCCATTGCTCTATGATGCTGAGCCCAGAGCAGGGTGCCCAGGATCACATCAAGGAGGGTTTGGGACCTCTCCAGAGCAGGAGACTCCACAGCCTCTCTGGGCAGCTGCTCCAGGATCCAACACCCTCCCAGCAGAGAAGTTTCTCCTCCTGCTCAGGTGGAACCTCCTGGGTTCCAGTTTGTGCTCGTTGTCCCTTGTCCTGTCTCTGGGCACTATTAAAAAGAATCTGACCCCAGACTCATCCTCCTGAGCATTAGACTGTGCCCGCAGCCAGAAATGGTCTCTGGCCTGGAGGAAACGCTGGAGCTGTCTCTGCAGTGTGACCATTCTTTGAGCCATGGCCAATTAATCCCCTTGTATTTCCTGAATGAAACCAGAGACAAAGCAGGTATGTGCTGATCACCATCCTGCCCACCCAGGGCTTGGCCACCGGCATGTGTCACTCCAGAGCCTGTGCCCAGAGAGGCCCTGGCAGGTGCTGGAGCAGGGCAAGGTGGCAGGAGAGGAGCTGGTGAGCTCTCCCATCCCTTAGCTGCATTTCCTAGAGTTACCAGAGGCCTCCTGGACCTGTCCCACCAGCAGATTCCGTCCAGCTGGAAACCATTTACCCTGGGCTCCAAGCAGGAGCATCACATCAGGTTGCTAAATCCACCCATGAAATCAGGAGAGCCCAGATTTGTGGTGATTTCACTGGGAGGAGTCCTGATTCTTGTTATTATTAATTTTAATGCCCCCGTTTGCTGCCAGCCCCTGCTCTACCCTACAGCCACCCAGCAGCACAAGGACACTGGTGTCAGCCAGGGCTGGCAGCAGCTCGTTCCTGACCCTGGGCTGCAATGTAGGAGATGACTCGGGAGAGCTCTGCAAGGCCATGGCCACGTTGGCATCACTGGGATGCACCAAGCAAGACAGAAGCTGCAGCAGGAGATGATGGATCCCACCCCCTATCACTTCCCTCAATCTGAGCTGTCCTGGAGTCCAGCCCATCGCATGGGTGCTGTGATCAGACCCCTCCAGCACATTCTCAGCAGCTGGGACGTGTTTCCAGGCAGGGAGTTCAGGTGGGACAATGGCAGCAGAGGGGACCTGCCCAGCAGGGTGGGTGGTGTGGCTGCTGGGGCTCTGGGTGGGGAAGGAGGGGATGCCCGTAGCTGCCTACCAGGTTCCCCACGGTCAGTACGTTCTCAAATTCTTCTGTCATGGGGTAATGCTCCATGGCCATGAAGACTGTGTTGAGCACAATGCAGATGGTGATGCCCAGGTCCACGAAGGGGTCCATCACTACCAGCTTGACAAACTCCTTCAGCTTAACCCATGGAAGACAACAGTTCCAGACTAGGAACGTGTGGGCAAATTTGTACCACCAGGGCGGGCACTTCTGGTGAGCTTCCTCCAGCTCTGAGGGCAAAGAAAAACAATATCAGTGTAATCCCACCCTGCCCTTCCCTGGGTGCAAAAAATGCTAGAAAAGACCTCTCCAGAGGTGCTGAACCAGCCCTCCACCATTTAAGAGTTTAATAGGGGGGCTGAGAAGGAGGAGCCTTCCCATGCCCAGGCACAGCGATGTGCAGACCTCACCCTCCGAAGCTGAGAGGGAAGGAAAGGCAGCTCAGTCAGGGAGCTGGGGGTCCAATCCTGCTCTCAGCACCTGGGCAGGATTTGAGGTGTCCCTGCCATGCTGAGGTCATAGGGACATCCAAGGGAACTGCTCTGAGGTGGCCAGAGAGTTTGGGGACCTGGTCTCGCTCTCGGGGAGGACAGGGCTGAGAAGTCTGGTGCTGCTGAGTCTGTGGCACTCTTTGGTGAAGCTGAGACAGCAGCTCTTGGGAGGCCACTCAACAGCTCTCAGTTGACTCTGGAGACTGCTGTAATCAGTTTGAATCCCATCCATTTCCAGCAGATAGGGGATTATGGCCTCCAGGCATCATCCTAGTAAGCTGGGATGAGAGGTCTTGTTTGTGCATCACTGCCGTGCACTGACCCTGCCTGGAGACTCCAGGTCTGGAGTCATCCCTTGCATGGGGCTGGAGACGTGGGACAGCTGCTGTCACTGGGGAGTGCTGAGGACCCCAAGCCCACCAAGGCACAACAGCTGGGCTAAACCAGCCAACACAGGCAGCCCTTTCCCAGGCTGGGGGAGGACGTACCTTCCACGGCGTTGGAGATGACACTGATGGCACTCCCCACCCTCTTCTCGAGGCCTGGCCCATCTTGGTTGCCCACAGTGAGGTGGTTGTGGTCCGATTTCTCCGGCTCGTAGATTGGGTTGAACTAGAAGGAGAGGAGGCCACAGGGGATGAATGCAGAGTGCTGCAGACCGTTGGGTGGACAGGAAAAAGGGAATGGTCTGGAGAGACCTTGGGGTGCAGCGTGGGACTTATGGGTGGGCTGCAGAAAGGCTCGTAGGACCCGACCCACAGCAAGCTGGGCACAAGCTTGTCCCTCCCCAGGGGTTTATTGGGGTGGAGACCTTCAAGGGGTAGCAGAGACAGAGCTGAGCACGTACGTCGGTCACCGTCGCAGAGCGCTCCAGCTTGATCCTGGGGACCACCTGCCCGTTGCAGTCCTTGGCCTTGTCCTGGTCGCTGTTGGGGTCAGAGTCAGGCTCCTTCTCAGCCACGCTGCTGGGCAGGGAACTGCTGCTGGATCGATGCTCCTGCAACTGCAGCAAATCCCCAGCCCCATCACCCAGGTGCCTGCGGCCGTGGGGAGCTTCCCACAACCTCTGCAGGACACCAGGCTATGGAGGTGGGGCTGAAACCACCTCCAGGACCATCCTGGGCAGGATTTTAGGACTCCAGTCTGCTGCTGCAGGACCTGGGCAGCAAACTTGGAGCAACAATGGGGGACAACAATTTGCAGAAGCTAAGCAGAAGGTGCCCCTGCCCCTTGCACAGCCCACTGTATGAAGCTCTCTGCACAGCAGTGTTGGATCTGCTCAGATTTGGTCAGGTTGAATAATTCATGAGGACAAAGCTCTGCGAGCCTGCTCATTTCTGTCTTGCAGGAAGGCCAACTGCACCCTGGGGTGCATCAAGAGGGGTGTGGGAAGCAGGTTAAGAGAGGTGATTCTCCCCTTGACTGCTCTGGTGAGACCCCACCTCGAATACTGCGTCCAGTTCTGCCACCATCAAAGGGACACAGATCTGTTGGAACAAGTCCAGAGGTGGATACAAAGATGATGCAGGGGCTGGAGCATCCTTGCTCTGAGGATGGGCTGAGGGCACTGGGATTGTTCAGCCTGGAGAAGAGAAGACTCCAGGGGGACCTTAGGACTG